AGAGAGAGAGAGAGAGAGAGAGAGAGAGAGAGAGAGAGAGAGAGAGTGGAAAGATCCTATTTCAGATTTTTAATTTTCTCATTAGAAGACCCTTGATTTTCTTTTCATGGGTGGAGAGGTTAAACGGGGGAGGGAGAGAAGTTCAACTAAGAAGTGGGGTGGACAAGAATGTGACAGCTTTGGGTTCCGCTGCTCAAATGGATTCCCCAAATGGACAGGAACAAGAGAGATGTGGGCCATCTCATTACAAATCTGGAGTTAGATCTTTGTCTTTGGAGGGAGTCAACAGGTAGGTAGCTTTTAATATGTAGCCTCTTAATATCACCTAAGCTGATGGGGAATTAACATTTCTAAGTAGAGCTTGCCAGTGGATTTGAGCAGGGCTTCTGCATTTTCAAGCCTTCATGCTAGCTCTTAGCACATTAGGAAAGATGCCTTCTTGGTATTTACACTCTCTGGTCTTTCTGTATTTTGTATTTTCTACTTTTTTGTCCTTGATATCACTCTCGGACCCTCTAGATCTTAAAAAATGAACTCCCATTTGGATAACCGTTTATGCCAAAGACACAATATATTTAAGTATTACAACATATTTAAAGAGAAACACAGATGAGAGAAACAGATGAATTAAAGCTCACAGAGGTGAAGTAATTTTTGTCTGAGACACATGGCTAATAATTGCTGTCATCAAGATTCAAAGCAGATTATCCTGAGTCCAAAGAATCTGCTCTTCCTTCCCTATCAGGAACACATTCTGTCCTCTGGTTCTCCCTGTCCTTTTGCCACATAGACATAAATTAGTACCTTCAATTCTGTTTGTCCTTAAAGTCTCTGCCTTGTTTCTTCTTACTCTTTGTAGAATCACGGTGTCTTTATTCACAAGACACTCACTGAGTGCCTGCTCTAGCTAGGCTCAAGGCAGGATATGGAGATGATGTAGGAATGGTTATCACTCTCAAAAATCAGCCAATCTAGCAGAGAGGAGGTAACAGTGAGGACACAGGCAAAGCCAAAACCAGAAAGCCGTGGTCCAGTTTCCTAAATAGATTCAGAGGAAAGAGAATGATCCCAACTCACAGAATTATCAAGGACTACTTCTTGGAAAAGGTGTTTGTGTGTTAGTCACTGGGAACCCTGGACAAAAGATTTGACTAGGACTGAGTATGTGACAAGGAAGGAAGCTCATTCAGGCCCTTGCTTTACCAAGGCCTAGAGGACTCACTTGGTGCTTCCACTGAAGTCACCTAGGCTACAGGAGTTGGATGACTGTGTCAGAAGACTCTGGCCATTTCCTGAAATGCTGTTATGCGGTGCTTGGGAAGACGGGTGTACGTGGGTTTACCTTGTACCAGCCAAACTGCCGACCATAGCAGCAGCTAACAGATTTCCATAAATTCTAAGGTCCCAGTACACACAGAGGAGTAGTAAAGAATATGTGAGGCTTCTCTATTGCTTTCACTGAAAGCTGCCCATGACCATTTGATGAGCATTAACGACAGACACACAATCAGTTTACAGTGACAGAGACAATGCTCCAGCTGAGAGAAGGGACTGACCTGAAGGAGGATCTTTGATTCTCAATGCCCTCTCTTTCTCCTCTGACCTGGCCTCATAGGTTACCTAACACTTAAAATGCACTCATAATTAGAAAGATTTCTTCCACATTCAACAGTTTTGTTGGTGCCAGTAACACTGGATATATTCTAGAAACAATGGTGAACAAGGGATTGGTGCTTATCAAGATTACTAGACCCAGAGAGCATCCACTGGCATTCCCAAAGTAAGTCTAGAGATGCCAGACTGGAACCTCCCCAAACATCAGTAAAACTCATGATTCCCCCATCCACCCACCCTTTGCCAAATTGATGGTGTGGTCCACATCTCTGGTGACCAGGAGTAGGAAGTGTTACGGGTCTAACACACACAGGACAGTGCATCCCAGGGTCTTGTAAATCTGGTGCCTCCTTACCAACGAGTTAATCTTGAACCTGTCTCTTCACCTCTTATTGCCATACCCATCTTCATTTAAATAAGAAGTACAGTATCATTGCTGTGGGGGATGTTACTTGTATTAAGTGAACTGATGTGTGTATAAATTTTAGCTTGACGTCTGGTGTGGTGGGGTTTGCTTATTATTACTATAATCTAGGCAATTAAATGTAAAGGAACACAAGCTGCGTTTGTCTCAGGAGATCTTTTCAACCTGAAGAATGCCTCCATTCCATGGGTCTCTGGTCCCTCATCTGTCAAGTGAAGGAGTTGGAGGCGATAATCTTTCAAAGCCTTTCAGCCATTCAGTGTTTGCCTTTCCTTGGAGGTGCATGTCTGGGCTTGTGAAGACTCCCGTTAGAGACAGAACCCCTGGCTTTTTAATCCCTGGCTCTCAGTATTCTAGGCCAGCTTTGCCCGTACTTCAGCTCTACAGGTGAGTTCATGGCCTGCTCATGGCGGGTACTTCTTGAAGGTCTGGTGACTCTCCCGCGGACTGCCCTTTGAAACAAGCACCCTCCATTCAATATCATCTCCCACTGTTCTCCTCTTACCTCACATAGAATCCTACAATTAAAGTGCTGTCCTCATTAGAAAGTCTTCTTCCCCACATAACCCTTCACAAGAGCAGTGACTTTTCAGATTTTCATTATTCTCGCCATTGCTCTTACATTTTCATGAGAAAAAGTACTCATTCTTCAAACAAAACTTTCTCACATGCTCCATATTCTAAGCTAACAAAGTGAAACTGCATGGATTCAAGTCATGAAGACAGCTCCAAACCCAGCTTGCTTTCTCGGGTCCTCTAGCCCTCACCTTGCCCTTGGGGTGGTCCCAGAGGCATCATATCTGCTAGGGTACCATGGGGCAGTTTAAAAACCAGTAGTGTAGGATATCCTAACATAAACCTTATCAGAAAAAAGTAACTTACTCCTTTCTCCTTCCACCCTTTATTTATTCATCTTTCTCTTTTGGGGCCACATAGGGCTGTATGACAAATGTTCTTTTACCTCGCGTGACCGAGGATGGGTCGTGGGCATTCACACCGTCAGTGATCAAGGCAACAGAGACCCACGCTACTTTTTCTCCTTGAAGACAGACCGGGCCCGGCAAGTGACCACCATCAATGCCCACCGCAGCTACCTCCCAGGCCAGTGGGTATACCTAGCTGCCACTTATGATGGGCGTTTGATGAAGCTGTATGTGAATGGTGCCCAGGTGGCCACCTCAGGGGAGCAAGTAGGTGGCATATTCAGCCCGCTGACCCAGAAGTGTAAAGTTCTCATGTTGGGGGGCAGTGCTCTGAATCACAACTACCGAGGCTACATCGAGCACTTCCATCTGTGGAGGGTGGCCAGGACTCAGCGGGAGATACTATTAGACATGGAAACCCATGGCCTCCATACCCCTCTACCTCAGCTCCTCCTCCAGGAGAACTGGGACAATGTGAAGCGCATGTGGTCCCCCATGAAGGATGGCAACAGCCCCAGAGTGGAATTCAGCAATGCCAATGGTTTCCTGCTAGACACCAATCTGGAGCCCCCTTTGTGTGGGCAGACGCTGTGTGATAACACAGAGGTCATCGCCAGCTACAACCAGCTCCCGAGTTTCCGCCAACCCAAGGTAGTGCGCTACCGCGTGGTCAACCTCTACAATGACCACCACGAGAACCCGACTGTGAGCCACCAGCAGGTGGACTTCCAGCACAGGCAGCTGGTTGAGGCCTTCAGGCACTACAACATCTCCTGGGAGCTGGAGGTGCTGGAGGTGAACAACTCCTCCCTGCGTCACCGCCTCATTCTGGCCAACTGTGATATCAGTAAGATCGGGGATGAGAACTGTGATCCCGAGTGCAATCACACCCTGACCGGCCATGACGGTGGGGACTGCCGCCACCTGCGTCACCCTGCCTTCGTGAAGAAGCAGCAGAATGGTGTGTGTGACATGGATTGCAATTATGATCGCTTCAGCTTTGACGGCGGAGAGTGTTGTGACCCTGAAATCACCGACGTCACTAAGACATGCTTTGATCCCGACTCTCCACACAGGTAAGTCCCTCCTGGGCAGAAGATGCCCAGCTGAAAGCTAAATGTGATACCCCATTGTATAGGAAAGGTACTTGAAGCCCATAGTGGTTATTACAGTTTTCCTGTTCATGCAGCACCTCCATGACCAAGGTGAGTGTATTACGCAGATGATCAAGGGGATCTTATGCTGATATAGTTGATTACAAAACTACCAATGAAATGTTTACCACTGGTTATGAAGAAAGACTAAAAACCCTGTCTTTCAAAGATCTCAGTGTTTAAATTGATATGCACTGTGCAGAAAACCACTGTCATAATGTACATAGCAGGGTGTTAGACCTCCGCTGTCCAATTTCGTAATCCCTTACCCTTACCACATGTGAGTATTTAAATTTAAATCAGTTGAAAGTAAGTAATATTTGAAATCCAATTCCTGAGTTGCATTGGTCACATATCAAGTATTCAGTTGCTAGCTGGGTCTGCCATACTGGACAGAGCAATTGGGAGTGTTTCCACTTTGTCTGTTGTGCAGTGCTGGTAGGGCTGGGGTCATCTGGGGTTTAAAGCCTGGGTTCAGATCTCAGCTCTTGTGATTCCTCATTTGGTGAGCATAAGAAGTTGTTTCTTTTCAATACAGTGGAATAGTCCCGATTCATGCTTTGTTGAGCTGTGTGGAGGACTAAGAGGAGGTACAAAGCACAGTCTCCCCATCACCGGCTAGTGTATAAGTGTTTTCAGTATGGAAAATTGTCATTTGCTGCTTAATGAGAGGGAGTGTGTGGTGTTCAGGAAGTACTGTTGAAGATCAAAGGGGAAAAGCTGACTTGCAGCGTATCTCATTGGGATTTTCTTTGGGAGAGGTGGAATTTCAGCAAGGTCTTCAAGAATACGTATAATTTGAGTCAAGTTATAGATCTAAAGTGCAACACAAGGAGTACAGGTAATAAAATAGTGCTGTATTTGGGATTCGTGCTAAATGTGTAGATTTTAGCTGCTATTGCCATTGAAAAAGGTAACCATGTGAGTGACAGAGATATTTATTAGTTTCTCTGTAGCAACCTTTTTGTCATCTATATGTATTTAATAACTTCATCTTGTAAGCCTTAAACATACACAATAAAATTTTTTTAAATAATTAAAGATAATTTGGACAACAGAAGTTGAGTTGGGGGGCAAGAGGGTGCTGCAAGTAGAGGAAACTTCTTCTCTTACAGGAGTGGGAAGAGGAAGGGGAACCTTCTGTCCAGGGTCTCAGCCTTTGCAGTGGCTGTCAAGTATAATAAGCAATCCCAGTGTGGAACCCAGCAGTGACCTGTATTTGATGTGGGACCTGAAGGAACCAGTTTCAAGCCAGAGGAACAGTCAACATCCACTTTCCTGTTTTTCACAGATTCCTGCTGAACTTTTCCATTCTGCCCAACACACAGGACCCTGGACTTGCTGATGGCTAGAACACATTTGCAAACCTCTGCAGGTTTTCTGCTGATGCTTCTCTTTATGTCTCTCTAAAGAGCAAAGGTGTCCCATGCACAGGGAAAGTACCTATGTGAAAAGGAATGACAGTGTTGGCAGCAGAGTGTCGTGCCTGGCAGTAAGTCATAAAGTTCAGCCTGCTGGTACCTGCGGGACTCTCACCTTGGCACCGAGGCATGCACAGCCCATGCTGTGAAGATGCTTGGTGTGTGGTCAGTCCTTTCCAGGTAGTGAAGCACTGTTGTCTCTGCCCTCATTTGAGCCTTGCCAGAGCTTGACAAGGTAGACAAGACAGGAGTTAGCATTTGCATTTGACTGATGGGTAATGGAGGAGGCTTAGAGAGCAAAGTGATTTCATAGGTTCACAGGTCAGGAAGGTCATTCTATAAATAGAAAATGTAAGTCTTCCGTGTTCAGTGAGGTGCATTCTATGGAGCTAGACTACCACGAGGTACCCGTGTGCCAGGGCAGAGTGGGCACGAAGGAGAATGGGCAAAGCTGAAACCCATTCACACATTTGTACTTTCCATTCATTTGCTCATTTCACTTATTCAGGCAACAAATATTTATTCATTAGCTGCCAAGGGCTGAGAATGTAGATACACTTAGCCATATTTTGGTGAAGAAAATCCAGGATTCAGAAAGATGAGAGCCCTTTACTAAAAACACTTAGCTAATACATGGAGAGCGTGGTGTCTAACCCAGGCTTAATGACTGACTCTTCAGCTTTCACTGACGGGAGAGTTTTAAATCCTAGCAAAATTCAAAGCAGAATTAGAGTAGCAGGCACAGTGGCTTTTTTGAATTCTTGGGAGAAAAATAATGCGTGTGATTGGGTCAGGACCAGTAGCAATTGGCCTTGGTAGAGCACTAGGCTGATGTGAGGGACTGGGGGCCCCAGGTCCCAAGTAACTCACAATCAGCAGGCAGCAATGGAAGATTCCAGAGGCCTCCTCTTTTCTCAGTCATGGGACTGCATTCCTAGAATGGGTGTGAGGAGCCACGTGCCAGCTCTGTGACCACTTGCACTAGGGCCCGTTCGCTTGCTGAAGGAAAATCTGTATGCCCCGGGTGAGTCCCACCAGGTCTGTGTCATCTCCTGACCATGCTGGGGCTGACTGAATTCTGGTCACCTCAGCTCTCCAGCATAGAGAGAGAAACCTCTACAAAGTTGCAGAGAAATATTCACTTTGTGACTATAAACAAAAGGGAGGTGGGGGAGGGATAAAAGGAAGGAGGGAGGTTTCTCTCAGACTCTGTGTGCGTGTGTGTGTGTGTGTGTGTGTGTGTGGTCATCTCCTGACCATGCTGGGGCTGACTGAATTCTGGTCACCTCAGCTCTCCAGCATAGAGAGAGAAACCTCTACAAAGTTGCAGAGAAATATTCACTTTGTGACTATAAACAAAAGGGAGGTGGGGGAGGGATAAAAGGAAGGAGGGAGGTTTCTCTCAGACTCTGTGTGCGTGTGTGTGTGTGTGTGTGTGTGTGTGGTGTGTGAACCTCTTTTTCCATCTCTTTCTTTGTGAGTAAAGACATTTAAACCACTGCTTCACAATTTATAACACGGGGCCAAATTTCTTCCTTTATATGTTACAAAGCAACAGCTTTGCATTAGACAACAAAAATGAATTGACATAAAGTGGAATAATTCAGGAATGGTGCAGCCATGGTAGAGTTCTGTAAAACTTTTCAAATGCCATTGTTCCACTTCTGTACTCATCATGCCAAGGACTGGTAGAAAACATTCCTGGACTCCCCACTTTGAGTAATATTGATTAAAATCCATCCTGACAATTTCGGTAACAGGTTTTTTTTAAAGAGAAATAAGATCCACCAATAATGAAGATGAGGTTGGCAGATACCATCAGAGAAGTACTGCTTTGCAATACATTGAAATGTTTATTTTTGTCCTTAGTTCTTTGTGCATTGTCTCAGGAATGTATCTATGCAAGAAAGCACAGAGTCCCAGCACAGGGTCTGTAGAAAACATGGCAGTGATGCAAGTTGTCTGCCTTGAGAACAGCCTCAGAGATTGTGGAGTTCAACCTCCTTTTGCAACATAAAGAGAAACTGAGTCCAGAGCTCACACAATCCATTTGTGGTGAAAACTGAAGAAAGGAGTTCCAGACTCCCAAGGCTTGGTAGTCTGCTCCAACTCCGCGCTTTTCTGATGTTCTTGTCAGCCACAGATACCTGCTTCTCGCATTCTATCCTCATTGTCTTCTTCAATTCTACCAAGAGATTAGAGATATGAAGTGCTGAGGGAGTAAGTTTGGAAGAGGCCTGGATGACAGCCTTGAGTTTCCATGATCCATTTCAGCACTGACAGAGCTACATGGGCAGCAGGCACCCTTAATGATAAGTAGAAACAAGGACAGCTAGCTACAGAGATTGAGAAGGGAAACTGGGGAGGCGAAGGGCTGGGAGCATTGAATATGACCAGTCACAGATGTCAATGTGGAGGAAAACCTTGTCACAGAGTCATGACTCCCAGACCATGACACACACCTCAAGTCTCTGAAGGTTTGTTCTATGAAAAGGAGCCCGAATTATTTTGTATGGTTTCCAAGCCATGGCTGGGAACAGAGTGTTGCTGTTCCAAGAGACACCTCTGCACTGAGGGAAAATTGTGTTATCTTCAGTCAGCCCTTCCCTGGAGAAGAGTAAGCCCCCTATTTCAGTGGCATGCGAGTCAATGCTGATAAACATGTGTGGGGAGGCAATAACTGGTGTCAAGAACAAGCTGGTCTTTCCTTGAGTGTGAGTTCAACCTAACTTTTTGCTGGAATCTTATTCCAGGTCATGTTACGAAGCCATGTGGTGACTGTTTCTGTGCTAAGTGGCATTTATTGAGCATGTCAACCTCTGCCAGTCTCTCTGATACTCTGAGGGCACTGTGATGGGGTGGACATATACTTCACCACTGAGAACTTTCCACTTCCACTGGAAAGACATATACAACCATAACATCTGATCTGCAGATTTAGGACAGGACACCTGCCATGCAGAGATTTATCCTGACTAGGGAAATAAGGCAGATGAGCTGGAGGAGGAGTGATCTGAAGAGGCATCCAGGAATAGGCAGCTTGTTGAGAAGTAGATGCACTGCCTCTGTCAGGGTCCTGGATGACACACACTGAAGCAGAATCATTAAGGGGGGGAAAGAGGGGGTGTTTTGAAGAAACAGCTATTTATAGGCCATATTGGCGGGGTTTAGGGAAATCAACAAGACTTACAACTTCACTCCAGGGCTAGCAAACCCAGGGAACCATTTCCACCCTCAGCCTATGAAAGCCAAAGAGAGGGAGTTGTTACAGATGCCAAAGACAGTGGCTATATAGAGTGGATTTCCTGGCAGCGACTATGAATTTTAGGAGAGGAAAACAGTCAGACTGTCACCACCTGATCAGAAGGAACCTAAGGAAGTGGATTCCACACTGTCATTCCCTCCTGCTAGTACTTTCCATTGGGTCACCCAAACTGGAAGTCACGAGGCTAAAGGGCTAACAAGGCAACGTGTGGAGATGCAGCGCAGTGGGGCAGGGCT